TAAGCCTGAGTATGTGGTACATACAACATGGTGAGGCTGTGGGTGAGGTGCAAGCGGTGTTCCTTGTACTACATGTAGGTATAGACGTATTCCTGCATTTCTCTGACCAGTAGAATAGTGATAAACACACATGACATGAATATCTGTTGCACTGCATAGTTTTGGAACTGATATTGATATTACTGCTTTTAGAACTTATATTGCACATGTAAGTGAGCTTGGGGTGGAAGATCCTTGAGGACCCCTTGTCTTACTGAGATTTCTTGTTTAGAGATCTCACCCGACGTTTGGGGAATGCTTATTTCAGGTTCGGGTAATGTTGAGACCTCAGGCGGCAGGAGGCCGGAGCTGAGTTAGATATTGATGATATTATATGCTGACTTGTTGGATGCTGGATATGCATGCTGCTTTTATGCTTTGAGCTTCATTTTATGTTTATGATTATCTTGTTGAGACGCTGTTGATTTGGTGAGCATGGGGATTGTCCATGACACATAGACCAGTTATGTCTTAGTTTTATTTGGAGTTGTAATAATGTATCAGGATATTGTCCAGACTACGTGATGTAGATCTGTGATTTAGATTCTCACTTTATTTATATATTGAGGTATTTCAGTAGATGTCTTATTGTAATTCACATTCAGGCGATATTTTATGAAATTGATTAAGTAATCAAGTTGGTAATTGATAATGACGTTATAGTTGAAAAGAAAAAGAGTATTCTGCATTTTTAATTAAGCGTAGCTTAATACGATGTAATGATAACACTATCGGATATATACGGGGTGTTACAATCTTCATCGCGAATGGAGAAAGTTTTAACCAGTTAAGGCTTTACCTTCCTTGATCTTGGAGAAAGTTTTGACCAGTTAAGGCTTTACCTTCATTTATCTTGGAGGAAGTTTTAACCAGTTAAGACTTTACCTTCCTTTTTCTTCGTCGCACTTGGAGCAAGTTTTAAACAGTTAAGGCTTTACCTTCCTTGATCTTGGAGGAAGTTTTAATCGGTAATTTGTTATGCGCAATGAATGATATGATCATGTATAAACCTGTAAGCTTTATTTGTACGAAATGATGAACAAAAAATACATATATGAATTAAAGAATGGACTCAACTGTAGAATATTTTGAGTTTATCTGCATTCTATGTACGTGGAATTGTGAGTCTAGATAACGTTTCAATGACGTATGCATCTCTTTCGGTCTTGCTTTGGACGTGATATGGCCCATCCCAATCCGCGGCCAATATACCCTGTCGCGCATTTTTATTGCCAATGTCTGCTCTGCGTAGGACTAATTCTCCTACGTTGAAACTTCGTTAAATGATTTTGGAGTTATAACGCGCTGCTATTCTCTGTTTTAATGTTGCTTCCTTGACATGGGCAATCTCGCGCATTTCATTGATTGTATCTAAGTTGTGCACTAATGCCTGAGAATTGACTTCTTCAGTTGCATACATCTTTCTCCAAGATGGCTCTCCAATTTTGACTGGAATCATGGCTTCACTCTCATAAACCATGCGAAATGGAGTTTCACCAGTGGTTGAATGCGGGGTGGTTCTATAGCCCCATAGTACATAGTCCAACTGCTCTGGACATTCTCCTTTTGCAGCTTCCAATCTTCTCTCAAATCCTCATTTTAAGACTCTATTTGTGGCTTCAGCTAAATCGTTTGTTTGTGGATGTTCAACGGATGTATATCTATGTTTAATGTGCAGATCTTGAAGCACTTGATTGAACTTTTTGTCCACAAACTGTGTTCCATTATCAGTTATAATGGTATTAGGGACTCCAAATCTGCATATGATCTTGCGATAAAAGAATCGGCGGATCTTGTTAGCTGATATTGTGGCTAAAGCCTCAGCTTCAATCCATTTGGTGAAATAGTCAATTGCGACTATTAGCCATTTTACTCCCCCTACCGCAATCAGAAATGGTCCTAATATATCCATACCCCATTGGTAGAACGGCCATGGGGATATGAGTGAAGATAACTCCTCAGGAGGAGCGTGGTGTAAACTCGCGTGCTCTTGACATTTGATACAATGCCGCACGTGTTGTTTAGAGTCTTTTTTCATAGTGGGCCAAAAATACCCTGCGCGAAGCAGCTTTCTGGATAGGGATTTACCCCCCATGTGGTGACCACCAATTCCTTCGTGAACCTCAGTGATGACATACTGAGCTTGTTGTCGGTCCAAATATTTCAGCATGGGGGAAGAGAATTCTTTTTTATACAACTGATTATTGATGATGGTATAAAATGAAGCCTTGCGCGCTAATTTCGTAGCAGAGTATGGTTCTGGAGACGTCATTCCTCTAGTCAAATAGTTCCAAATTGGAGTCAACCAAGTTTCTCTATCACATGGTTGTATCTTGTCATCATCTATCATGTGTTTTGCATCGTGAGAGGGACGAGCTTTGCGTTTGGTAACGGCCATCATGATGCTTGGATTGGGAACACTTTGCTGAATGACCGGCCTATTATTTCCAGGTCCTTTTGTGCTAGCAAGTTTAGATAAAATATCTACCCTGGAGTTCTTTTTCCTAGGGATGTGCTCAATTTTAAAACTTTCAAAGTCAACTAATAACAATCGTACCTTATCCAAGTATTTTGCCATTAGAGCCTCCTTTGCCTGGTAGGTTCCTTGTACTTGTGCAACCACCAGTTGTGAGTCACTCTTCAGGATTATTCTTGCTGCTCCCAAGTCTTTTTCCATTGCGAGTCCCGCGAGAACTGCTTCATACTCAGCTTGATTGTTGGAAGCTTTGAATCCAAAATGAATAGAATGCTCCACAGTAACGCCCTGAGGACTTTCAACAATGACTCCTGCCCCACTACCTTTAAGATTCGAAGATCCGTCCACGAAGATTGTCCAATCATTGTCTGTCTGAGTTTGTTGGGAGTGTGTCATTTCTACAAGAAAATCAGCTAATACCTAGGCTTTAATAGTCTGACGCGGTTCATAAACGATGTCGTATTCTGATAATTCTATTGACCAGGTAATCATCCTTCCAGCCAAATCAGGTTGACGTAAGACCTATCTCAGTGGCTGATTAGTTTTGACTTTGATGGTGTGTCCCTGAAAGTAATGTCGCAAGCGACGGGATGTTAGGATGAGCGTGAAAGCCACTTTTTTGATCTGTTGATAACGCAGTTCTGGACCTTGAAGGGCTTTGCTGACAAAATAAATTGGTTGTTGTCCCTGGGCGTCTTCGCACAATAATACCGCGCTAATGGCCTCGTTATTGACCGAAAGGTATAAGACCAAGGCTTCGTCCAGTTGAGGTCTCACCAAGACTGGGGGATTAGCCAAATGTTCTTTAATAACAGTAAATCCTGCTTGGCATTCTGGCGTCCAATTGAAATCTATTTGTTTACGCAACAGTTTGAACATGGGTAATGGCTTTTGTGCTGATGCTGGCAGGAATCGAGTTAGAGTTGTTATCCTTCCAGTCAACTGTTGCAATTCCTTAATATTTTGAGGGCTAATCATGTCGAGGACTGCTTTGCATTTGTCATGGTTTGCCTCTATGCCTCGATGCGTTAGAATGAATCCTAAGAATTTTTCAGTAGGAACCCCAAATCTGCATTTGGTTAGATTAAGTCGCAACCTATATTTGCGCAACTGTTGAAACACCTGCTCTAAATTGTGAGGGTGTTGTGGAGTGGTCATTGTTTTGACAATTATGTCATCTATATATACTTCTAGCATCTAACCAATCTGTTGGCTAAAGACCTTGTTCATCACTCGTTGGTACGTCTTGCCTGCATTCTTAAGACCAAAAGGCATCATATTTTAACAATAAGTAGCCTTTTCAGTAATAAAAGCAGTGGCTTCCTCGTCCTATTTAAACATGGAGATTTGGTTGTACCCTGAATACGCATCCATGAAGGAGAAAATTTGGTGTCCCGCGGAATTATCTACCAATTTGTCAATGGTAGAATAGGATAGAAATCCTTTGGGAAATGTTTATTAAGATCTGTGTAATTGATACACATGTGCCATTTGCCATTGGCTTTTTTGACTAGCACGAAGTTAGAGAGCCAAGTGGAGTAGGTGATTTCCCGAATGATTCTTGCGCCGAGTAGCTTTGTTACTTTTGTATCTACCACCTGTTGTTTCTCCGGAGATATTTTACGTTTCTTTTGCGCGATTGGTTTGGCTTTTGGATCAAGGGTAAGATGATGGCATATTACATCATGATTTACTCCTAGAATATCAGCTGTTGTCCAGGCAAAAAGGTCTTTATTTCTCAATAATACTGCTACCAGTTCTTTCTTCTCACTTTTCGGTAAATGACGTCCGATCTTGGTAACGTTTTCAGGTAATGGTCCAAATTGAAGATCTTCTAACTCTCCATCAGGCTGGGGTCGCATATCGCGCAAATCTTCACGCATGTCCAAGTCAGTCATGTTGATCGATGCCTTGCCTTTCTCAACGTGATGGGTTGCTGACTTGGCTCATAAACTGGTGTTGTAACAGCTGCACGCCGCTTTTTGATCGCCTCTAATGGAAACAACCGCGCCGGTGGAGTCTCGAAATTTCATCAAAAGATGAGGCATAGAAATGATTGCCTTTAGTGCGGCAATGGTGGGACATCCCAAGATGACGTTATATGCCGACGCATATTCAATAACATAAAAGCGCACTTTGACAATATGGGCCAAAGGCATGACCCCAAAGGTCACCCACATTTCTATGGTACCTTTAGGTTGTACACACTCACCGGAAAAATCGATCAAATATGTGCAACCTGGAATTAAATGTTCTTCTGGGATATTCATCGCGCGGAACGCTTCCCAGAAGATTATGTCAGCAGAACTGCCATTATCAATCATAACTCGTTTTACCTAGAGATTGGCCATGCAAGCAGAGATCACCAATGGATCGTCATGGTCTGGGATGATGTCGCCATAATCATCATTGTCAAAACTTATGGATTGACGCTTGACACGAGATGTAGAGGGCCGTGCAAGATCACGAACTGTCATGACTGATTTCAGATGTTTCTTACGTTGTGAACTAGTTGCTCCTCTCCGGCAGTTCCGCCAGCGATGGTGGCTAACACTCCGGCAGCATTATTGGGCAGTTGGTGTTGTTGCACAGTCTGTTGTTTATTCCGCGCTAGAGTTCCTTGACGTTTATCAGTGGGGTCATCGTGCGCGTTCCTGTTATCATTATTTCCGGCAGGGTTATAGTCTCTCATGGGAAATGCCCTTTGTCGTTTAGAATTTTGATCGCAATCAGGACTTCTGTCGCGCCTTCTTTGTCCTTTATACTCTCTGCAACTAGCAATGAATTTCTGGAGTTTGCCTGCTCTGATGAGTGTTTCAATGGCGTTTTTCAAGTCAAAACACTCATCAGTGGTATGACCGGTATCATTATGGAACTCGCAGAATTTGGTTTCATCGTGTTGTCCTCCTTTTTTCAACGGTGGGGGTTTGGCAACGCGCATGTAACTAGTTTGGAAGACTTCTTTCAAGATTCGTCTTCGAGACGTGTTCAAATGAGTGTAATTATCAAACTTTTCCCATTTCCTTTTCTCGTGAAATCGTCTTTGAAAATTCTTTTGGACATCCTTTTCAAAATGGTCCAATTCTGATTTGGTGCCAGACGTATCCTGTGATCGTTTATAATCTTCAAGATTAATGAATTTTTCAGACCGCGCTCTTTGTTCCTCTATAGTCTGTGGGCGTTGTTTAGCCAACGACATAGAAAATGGACCTTCAAGCAATCCCTCTATGATAAGATGTAGGGAAACTTGTGGATCTAAATATCTTACTAGGAGCACTTCATCAAAAAACCTATTAAGGTAATCGCGCAGAGTTTCATGTGCTCCTTGTCGTACAGTTTTCAAGGCATGTGTGGATTTATACTGCGCTTTACTTTTTGCGAACCGTACAAGGAATTGATTGGTTAGATCCTCCCAACTTTGAATTGAATTAGTCGGCAAAGCGGAGTACCATCTGAGCGCCACTTCCTTCAGGGTTGTTGGGAATAGCCTGCAGGCTATTCGATCAGCAACATCTTGTGCCATCATGTTCGTCTAGAATTGTTCGAGATGTTCTTGCAGGTCTCCCTTTCCGTTATACTTCTCGGTGGTAATTTTTACATCCCTGGGTATGGGGACGCTCATAATACCTGGGGTAAAAGGATGAAGGACACGTGAAACTGTTCTAGAATTGCCCTGGGAATTTTCATTGGTTTCTTTTTCTTCTCCTCCTTTTTTGTTATGACCGGAAGGTCCAGGATCTTGTTTCTAGTGTTCAAGTACTGGCTCACTCTCGCCAGAATTCTCCAATTCCTTTTCAGTTTCTTTCTCAGGTTCTTTTTGTTTTCCTTTCCCTTTTTCTTGGTTTTTCTCTCTAGCTTTTTGTGATTTTTTCAATCGAACTAAATCTCGATTCTGCTGGGCGATTTTTTTGTTTTGCTGAGTGATGAGTTTCAGCAAGTGTTGAGTTGTGGGTGGATTATCGTGGTGCACGGAGATTGGTGCAACCAACAAAGCTGATTTATCGCGGGAAGCTGGTGTTTCTTTCTGCTTCCCTTTGGAACCATTCTGGGATTTGCTTCTAGTATCAACCATGTTTTTAAATTGTGAATGGATGGATTCTAAATGATAGAATCCCCACAGCCGGCGCCAATGATCGGACCAAATACAATATGGGCTGGCCAAAGTGTACTGGGCCAAATCACACACTGTTAATGAGGGTAGGCTTTTGGGTAATCTGTCTTTCGGGCTGGTGGTTGTTGATGATGATGAGTGGACTTTGGTTCTCCTTCGGCCTGTTGAGTCTGACTGGGGGGGTCCCTGCAATGACACTCTGACGCTCAAGTCAGTATCAAAAGCAGGTGTATGTGTATTTTTACTGAATTAGATTATAATACCTGGGCATGTACCCTCTGCTTATATAGTGGTTCTGATGCCGCCTTTGGAAGGCGGTAAGGCCTCTGATTGGCTGTGCCAGGGCTGCAGGTTCAGTTGGTGCTTTCATAGCCTTATATGAGGCAATCTTGGTAGAGTAATGGAAAGCTGGTGCTGTCTTCTGTTAATTTGTTTAATGGCGCGGTAGACCTTTATTAGCTCCTCTATTTGCTTCCTTATCTCTGAAGTTATGTTAAAGGGCGATTTCATGCGCGATGATGGCGCCGCGCCCTGTTATGCTGGGCCTTGTGGGTTTGAGCCTTGTTCTATGTATTTGGGCCTCTGATGGGCCTATCATATTTTATCCAGATCACCAGCGATACAATAAAGTTGCAGTAGGGATTTATTGAATATCGTGAGAGACAAAGTCTTTGTAAATCGGTTCATATTTTTTTATTTAAAAATAAAAAATATAAATGACTGTCATAAAGGGAGGATAGGAATTAATTCAGGAACGCCTGCTTGGGCTGGAATAGTTATATGTTCTTCAGCCTTTCTGCTATGTAATTCTCAATGCATTGAAAATATATCTATTTGAAATATAATATGTGCACCATAAGCCAGAAAGCCAGATTTTTGCTTTGTCTGATAAGAAGCAAGAAGCTTGGGTTTTAATTACATGTATCCTATGAAGCTAACTCATGACCGATAAAATCTCATCAACTGATTTCCATAAGCTCCAAAGACGTAACGTGGGTGACCAGAAAGAAATGATCAGCAACTTACCTGATAGCATTCTTCATTACATTCTTTCTTTACTCCCTACCAATGATGCCGTAGGAAATTCCATATTAGCAAAAAGGTGGGAGTGCTTATGCACATAATTATCTATCTTTAATTTTGAAAATAATCGGTCAATCAAATACAACAAAGAAATCTAAGTTCAGAAGTCAGCGAAATGAGCTGGTTTAATAAAGGAAGCAACAGCTAGTTTAAGAAATTGATCTATTTTGAGAGTTAAGAGTTAGATTCCTACATTGTGCATCATTACACCGGACAACTGCATATTATTTAATTAAAGGAGCAAAAACAGTTCCATGCAACTAATTATGAAGTTCATAAATCACTACTTGATTAGATTAACCTTACCCCTAGCATTCAACTAGTACATATTTAATGGAATGTCTGTAACACCCTGTTCTAGAACCGGTTTGTTAACATCGCATTATGATATTAAGCGCAATTACAATCACATGGGTTCAATTAAAATCCGGATAAATTTTTTCATTTTAAAACGTACCGAACTTATAATACCCAATTTCGTGATCATAACCATATTACCTCGCGGAAACAGATAAATTAAGCTTAACATCATGTTCATTTCCCATTTTTAAACCATTAATTTACTTCTTGTTTAGTTCAATACTTCTACTATATTGTAGGTTTCTTCATTAGCTACCCGTGGCTTCAAACCGTGCTCAAATCGGAGCACTGTAGTCCAAGTTAGGACAATTTGAAGCAACACAAGAGAGTGTTGGTCACAGGCCCCGCGCGCTTCAGCGCGCTACCGGGCGCTCAAGCGCGCGCTATCGGGCGCTAAAGCCTCCATCTGGGCGCTTAAGCGCACGGAGGCAGTAAGCATCAGGCATTCCAGTGTGGATGGGCGCTTAAGCGCGCAACAGGGCGCTCAGGCGCGCTATCCTGGGCGCTCAAGCTCCCACGGGGACGTTTTAGCGCGCAGAGACAGAAGCATTTCCTCCTACAGTGGCGAAGGGCGCTTAAGCGCGGACCAGGGCGCTCAAGCGCGCAACCCTGGGCGCTTAAGCCCCACCCTGGGCGCTAAAACACGAGGGGGCAGTAAGCCACCCAACTTTCTGCAGCAAGGGGCGCTTAAGCGCACGCCAGGGCGCTCCAGCGCGCAATCCTGGGCGCTTCAGCCCCCACTTGGGCGCTCCAGCGCGAGGAGGCAGAATGCATTGGCACTTGCAGGGGCAGCAGGGCGCTTGGGCGCGCTCCTGGGCGCTTAAGCGCGCTGCCAGGGAATTCCAATTCCCATATTTCTCAAGTCCAAGCCTAGGGAAAAATGCATCCCCATTACAAACCCCAAATGTCCATGCCCCAATACTAAATCCTAGCACTCATCCAACCTCTCCTCATGAGATTTAGCTAGAATTTGGGCAGCATGACCTTTGTTTTCTCATCGTTTACCAGTTTAAACGAAGAGGGTACCTAATTGATTTTCAGCCCAACCAATTCAACAACTCAATACATAACAAGCATGCATATATTGAATTCCAAGTAGGCATCATTTACATTACATATCCCTTACAAATCATAGAACTTAGCTTACAAAACACTATGATCATTCCCTTGGCTCCCATCAACAAAAGGTGTAACCAAAGGCATGAGCATAGGCTAAGTTCATCCAATGAATCAAGATATACAAATGATCATGGGCTTTCAAAATAAAATCCTATACATGTCAACTACAAAAGGCATGCATAAACTCAAAGAAATGCCATATTTCATGCATAATCCAGATATGGCCACTTGCCACCAGAGGCTCCTGCAGCATCCTTACCTGAAAGGGGGTCCCCACAACACGGGGTGAGATATACGAATATATCCAGTAAACCAGGGGTCCTTGGAGCATCTCTCCACCCCACAGTTACATATCAGTGTAATAGCAATAACAATAATAATGCAGTAAATACATATCTATGCAAAGTGCAATACATCTCCAGGAGAAATCCCTCGAGCTCTCAAGCTGTCCTAAGGAAACTCAGATGCAAATAGTCCTACTGGCCAGCTAACTACCAAGTATGATTTACGCATCGTCATGCAACATACCTGTAACACCCCGTTCTAGAACCGGTTTGTTAACATCGCATTATGATATTAAGCGCAGTTACAATCACATGGGTTCAATTAAAATCCGGATAAATTTTTCATTTTAAAACGTACCGAACTTATAATACCCAATTTCGTGATCATAACCATATTACCTTGCGGAAACAGATAAATTAAGCTTAACATCATGTTCATTTTCCATTTTTAAACCATTAATTTACTTCTTGTTTAGTTCAATACTTCTACTATATTGTAGGTTTCTTCATTAGCTACCTGTGGCTTCAAACCGTGCTCAAATCGGAGCACTGTAGCCCAAGTTAGGACCATTTGAAGCAACACAAGAGAGTGTTGGTCACAGGCCCAGCGCGCTTCAGCGCGCTACCGGGCGCTCAAGCGCGCGCTATCGGGCGCTAAAGCCTCCATCTGGGCGCTTAAGCGCACGGAGGCAGTAAGCATCAGCATTTCCAGTGTGGATGGGCGCTTAAGCGCGCAACAGGGCGCTCAGGCGCGCTAGCCTGGGCGCTCAAGCTCCCACTGGGACGTTTTAGCGCGCAGAGACAGAAGCATCTCCTCCTTCAGTGGCGAAGGGCGCTTAAGCGCGGACCAGGGCGCTCAAGCGCGCAACCCTGGGCGCTTAAGCCCCACCCTGGGCGCTAAAACACGAGGGGGCAGTAAGCCACCCAACTTTCTGCAGCAAGGGGCGCTTAAGCGCACGCCAGGGCGCTCCAGCGCGCAATCCTGGGCGCTTAAGCCCCCACCTGGGCGCTCCAGCGCGAGGAGGCAGAATGCATTGGCACTCGCAGGGGCAGCAGGGCGCTTGGGCGCGCTCCTGGGCGCTTAAGCGCGCTGCCAGGGAATTCCAATTCCCACATTTCTCAAGTCCAAGCCTAGGGGAAAATGCATCCCCCTTACAAACCCCAAATGTCCATGCCCCAAAACTAAATCCTAGCACTCATCCAACCTCTCCTCGTGAGATTTAGCTAGAATCTGGGCAGCATGACCTTTGTTTTCTCATCGTTTACCAGTTTAAACAAAGGGTACCTAATTGATTTTCAGCCCAACCAATTCAACAACTCAATACATAACCAGCATGCATATATTGAATTTCAAGTAGGCATCATTTACATTACATATCCTTTACAAATCATAGAACTTAGCTTACAAAACACTATGATCATTCCCTTGGCTCCCATCAACAAAAGGTGTAACCAAAGGCATGAGCATAGGCTAAGTTCATCCAATGAATCAAGATATACAAATGACCATGGGCTTTCAAAATAAAATCCTATACATGTCAACTACAAAAGGTATGCATAAACTCAAAAGAAATGCCACATTTCATGCATAATCCAGATATGGCCACTTGCCACCAGAGGCTCCTGCAGCATCCTTACCTGAAAGGGGGTCCCCACAACACGGGGTGAGATATACGAATATATCCAGTAAACCAGGGGTCCTTGGAGCATCTCTCCACCCCACAGTTCCATATCAGTGTAATAGCAATAACAATAATAATGCAGTAAATACATATCTATGCAAAGTGCACTACATCTCCAGGAGAAATCCCTCGAGCTCTCAAGCTGTCCTAAGGAAACTCAGATGCAAATAGTCCTACTGGCCAGCTAACTACCAAGTATGATTTACGCATCGTCATGCAACATACCAACATAGGGAAACACCATCCTATGCCACACCAAATGCATACACATACGTATAACAAAGCATTACACTATTTTATTGCATTTATATACACAATCACAACCTCTACCCTTTCAGGGCTTGGTAGAACAGTCAAGGGAATTACACCCAAGGTCCGAAGGCTTACCTCAATGCTTCAGTCAACCTTTGTTCTTCACCAACAGTTTCAGCAATCAACTTTTACAAACATACACCAATTCCAATGAGCTATTCGAGCTCCATAGCTTGCTCCAATGGTTGATCACTCACGGTTGGTCCAAATGTCTCAATCCTAGACATCACAAGGATCCAATCAATCATTCAACTCATTAATTGTTCAACATGCTAGAATACTAACCAATCCAAGCATGAATTTTCCAATATTATGAACAATTATCAAATGACTATCTAGGCTCATTTCCACCGATTAAATGACATTCCTAGCATTTTCCATAACATGCTCTAAGCTCCATTCTTCCTAGAACATAGCTAATTCAACTACATTTCATAAAATCCCAATTTACTATTCACAAACCCTAACTCATGCAAATTTCAAGGAATCATGAGGTTCAAGGGTTAGAATCTTACCACCAATGGTCACACAACCAAGGATTGATGGCTCCTCAAGCTTCAATGGAGGTAGAAACTCTCAAAACCCCAAATTTCTCCAAAGGGCCGAATTTTTGAGGGGTAATATCTCTCTCCACAATGCTCCCACTCAAAACAAAGCTAGGATTATGAAAGAGGGGAAGATTTAGAGTGGTTTAGGCTTTTGAATCATCCAAAACCATCAAGGTTTGATCTCTCTCTCTCTTCCTCCCTCCTTTCCCTTCTTCTTCTTTCTCCTTCTTCCTTTCCTCTTCTCTGATGCTCGACGAAATGGGGGTGGGAAATGGGGCTCATTTGGCTTTTAGTCACTTAACATAGGTTAAGTGACTTTAAGCGGGTATTGGTTCGTCTATCTATTCAACTCCATTAATTACCAAACTCTACCCAAAAGTCTGGAATATTATTCTAGGAATATTACTATTTTTATTTTTATATTTTGGGTACTTTTGACAGTACCCATTTATACCCCTTAATTTTCACTGAGTACACTTTTTAACTCCAAAGTGACTCAGATTCATTTTATTAAGCCTCATACTTCATTTCACCCAGTAAAACATGTTTAATTAATTAATTACACTTGATTTCCTAATTAATTAGTATGGGCTATTATAATACCAACATAGGGAAACACCATCCTATGCCACACCAAATGCATACACATACGTATAACAAAGCATTACACTATTTTATTGCATTTATATACACAATCACAACCTCTACCCTTTCAGGGCTTGGTAGAACAGTCAAGGGAATTACACCCAAGGTCCGAAGGCTTACCTCAATGCTTCAGTCAACCTTTGTTCTTCACCAACAGTTTCAGCAATCAACTTTTACAAACATACACCTACACATGGTGTAATGCAATCAACACATTGCATCCCAGAGTATTTCACAATCAACCATCAATTACTCAATTCAAAGCACAACACAAGTATGAGCTTACCAATTCCAATGAGCTATTCAAGCTCCATAGCTTGCTCCAACGGTTGATCACTCACGGTTGGTCCAAATGTCTCAATCCTACACATCACAAGGATCCAATCAATCATTCAACTCACTAATTGTTCAACATGCTAGAATACTAACCAATCCAAGCATGAATTTTCCAATATTATGAACAATTATCAAATGACTATCTAGGCTCATTTCCACCGATTAAATGACATTCCTAGCATTTTCCATAACATGCTCTAAGCTCCATTCTTCCTAGAACATAGCTAATTCAACTACATTTCATAAAAATCCCAATTTACTATTCACAAACCCTAACTCATGCAAATTTCAAGGAATCATGAGGTTCAAGGGTTAGAATCTTACCACCAATGGTCACACAACCAAGGATTGATGGCTCCTCAAGCTTCAATGGAGGTAGAAACTCTCAAAACCCCAATTTTCACCAAAGGGCCGAATTTTTGAGAGGTAATATCTCTCTCCACAATGCTCCCCACTCAAAACAAAGCTAGGATTATGAAAGAGGGGAAGATTTAGAGTGGTTTAGGCTTTTGAATCACTCCAATCGGTTGGGATTTGCTCCCTCTTCTCTCTCTTCTTCTCTCTCCCTTTCTCCTCCTTCTCCTTCTTCTTCTTTCTCCTTCTTTTCTATTTCTGGCGTCGACGGGGAAATGGGGGGTTTTGGGTTCTTTTTGGTTACTTTATCACTTAACATTGGTTAAGTGGTAACATGTGGGTATTGGTTCGTCTATCTATTTAACTCCAATAATTACCAAACTTTACCCAAAAGTCTGGAATATTATTCTAGGAATATTACTATTTTTATTTTTATATTTTGGGCACTTTCACCAGTACCCATTTATACCCCTTAATTTTCACTGAGTACACTTTTTAACTCCAAAGTGACTCAGATTCATTTAATTAAGCCTTATACTTAATTTCATTCACTAAAACATGTTTAATTAATTAATTACACTTGATTTACTAATTAATTAAGATGGGCTATTATAATGTCATTGCATTTCAGTTCAACCAAACTAATGAATTAAATAAAGTTCAAATGATCAGAATCGATTTATATGAAAGCAACTCAAGCAAGCTAAAGTGACACCCGTAAATGAAACTTGGAAATCACCGGAATAAATCCTGGAGCTTGTGACAGAAACTATCAATATAAGTTAACTACAAATTGTTGCTCTCAATTTAGTTGATTTGCTCTGACCTGCCAACCAATCTCACTCTCATCATTCATCACTACTGTCTTCAAATCTTTGCAAACGTTCTCCTTTGTGATCAAGCCATCTTTTTTACCTTTCTCCATTTCAAAACCAGCATTAAGCCGCTGCTGATCATTATTGCGTTGAGGATCTGGTCATTAATATTTGGTAAAACCACGATCTGACACTTGTTCCAAAGTGTCCTCTTGTAAAAAAGATCAAAATCCACAATGGGCAAAGAAGCACCCTACAGATGGGTGGTCCAGAATTAATGTTTGTTGTACTCAACCCCCATGGACAACCCCTCGTCCTTGAACCCTCTCTTTGAATCCCTTTGGCAGAGCAGTTTCATCTGATTCAAATGCAACAGGTGTCTTAAGTGCGGCCACAAATGGAAAACCTGTTAGCTCAAGACCCGACAACAATTCTTGGAATGGATCTTGCTGTAGAGTCCATTCACTACCAAAATGGAGATGCGTGGCTTTAGTATTATAGGCCCTGAAAGCATAAAAGCCTTTCCATACAGGGTCCTCAAAATCACTACAACATCGAGTCTTTTTCTACAACATAAAATCCTCTTTCAAAGTTCTATTGCCAAATTTATTATTATTTTCTTCTTTCACAATCTTATAAAACATTTTAAATTGTGAATGTCTAGTTTTGTTTGTTGTCTATTATTAGAAACAGATTATTAGAAACAGAGGATGTTATCAAGTCCAAGTAGATGTTCCTACATCACAATAAGTGTTAGCTCCATGTAGTTAAAGATGATAATTTTGGTGGTCTATGGTGGTGTTTTGTTTTGAGACCAATGTCAAGAGTAAGAGTTATTGGTCCTATTTTTGAAAAGTTCAATCATTTTTTAAGACTGCCTAACATTTGTTTGAAGGTGGTTAGGTCAGTGAGTAAACAGAGTATCAGGGAGATTGATGACCCGCTCACGTATTATTATATACATAATTTCTTGTAAATCAGTAAATAACACTGTTTACTGTAACTTATTTTTAATAACATAGATGCTTAAGGTATCTAACATTAATACTGAGATTATCATTTTGTATAGTTACTATAGAGTACTTCGGCCATTCTTTCCTTTTCACACTTTCGTTTACAAATTGTAGACTAAATATCAAATAATTTATTCTCATAAACTCATAAAAGGAGCTAGACTACCCCCATTTAATTCAACTGAGCAACGGATCATTATTAGAAACTTCTACTTTAAGATTGCTATATCCCAGTTGATTCTGTACCTTTTTCCCTTGAAATCTTGACAATTTGCTGTAGATCATGCATGATAATCCATGGCCCAGCATGCTTATCATCGCGCTAACAATGTTCTCAATTAATATTCACTCCAGCCTGGAAAGAGAATAGAAAAGCAAAATCACCATATCATAAACTTTAACAGAGAGTATGAATGATTATAAATTTATAACGATAATAGTGCCTTTGCTGAATTAAGTCTAACCTCAAATGGTTTAGAACTTCTTCAATGGAAGTGTGGCTCGAATGAAATAGTTGAGATTTTCATTAATCAGCTCACGTATATGACTAACCATTTGTTAAAAACTTGCGCTTCCGAGCTAAAGAATTTCTGCTATGCATCATTTTTGGATTTGATTGCTCCAGATCCTCCTTAAATACCCAACGATATGCACAATTTTTCACCTGCAAATGCAAACCTCCGGGCTGCTTAATTATGATGGTCAATATGATACCATCAAGATCGTGCATTCCTTTTGTTATAACACTTACATATTGATCAATGAATTCTTCCCGAGTAAAAAAAAGCAGCATCAGGTGATCTGATTCAACTGTGACCAGATCTTTCTCGAGATGTATCGGAATGTAGGGAGATCGCCCACGCCCATTTTTATGAAAAAGGAACCCAATTTGAGGTTGGCTAATGAACCCAATATGAGGTTGGCTTGTATCACTCAAATTAGTTTGATCATCATGTGCCACAAATGCTGCACAACAAGCGACACCTATCCAATTTTTGGCATGCATAATGGGAGATGAATCCATGCTAATTGAATTACCCATATTTTGTTTGTTGAACCACCTTGGAATTTGGGTATCGGGAATAACAATGTGAATATGACCGAAGGGAATGGAGGACAGCATGAGCACCTGATACCAGAAAAATTATTTATGTTTTATTTTCATAGACAGAAAAAAAAAAAATAACAAAAGCGAGATAGGGAAAGGAAAGTTGGAGTGAGCACCTTAAGGACTTGTATCATCCAACAAAAAGCCAAGTTATAACAGCGTTCCATCTCACTCTCACTCAAATTGGGGCAGTCAAAAATATTTAATCCTGCACAATATCTACTAAATAATGGTTGTCTCACTGGAAAGACAGTACTTGATGGGAGCTCAGGCAAATATTTCAGCTGCTTACAATGCTCCAAGTTAAAATATCTAAGTTTGGAAAGTTCCTTGATGCTAGAAGGTAATGTAACAAAATCGTTTCCCCCCAATTTTAACCATTCTAAACAATGTAACCACCCAATTGCATCAGGGATTTGAAGAATATTGCAGAAACTTAGGTCAAGATGTTGCAAATATGGGAAACGAGGCAAAGAAGGCAACAATAAACCAACTGAATGTTGATACCTTCGAGAATAGAAAAAACGGAAAGGCAACATTGGAATTTTGTAGATGGAGGATGTTGACTGGCTTTGTATTGTACTTCCATTTATATCAAGCTTCTCCATATGTTCTGCATGCCTTGGTTTCTCTAACAGCTGATTATTAAGTAATTTTGAGCAGCCAGAGAGACTTAGAACTTCAAGAGAGCTTAGATCAAAAATGATGTTGGGAATAAAGACTAGATTTTTACAATTTTTCAAATTTAAATAAGAAAGCTTTCTTAGAATGCCAATGGATGGATGAATCCGCTCAAGTTTTATACATCCTTCAAGATTTAGCCACTCAAGATTTGGGACCTCTCCAAAATCTGGCATCTTGATAAGATTTCTGGAGTGAGAGAGATCCATACGTTTCAAACTGTGTAGAGGCTGCAGTGAAGGGCCAACAATAGGAGACAAATTTAATAAATGAAATTTATGTTTTCTTTAGTTTCTTTAATTAATTCAGAAAAAGCGGAAAGAAAATGAGAGAATTTTTCTGTTTGTTTTTCTCATTTAAAGAAAAAAAAAATAGAAAAAGAACAACGAAATGTAGTACCTTTGTGCATTCCCATAGTTGTTTGATACAGCTGTTTGGCAGTTTCAATTCAACAAGTTTATCCGGCTGAAAACTTGATGGCAGAGAAGCGAAAGGATATTTATCCCAACAGAGATATCCTAGTTCATTGGAAAGAAAATTTTGGCTTCCTGAAAAGTTCACACTCCACAGCACAAGCAACTTAAGGTGACTCATTTTTGATAATGCATCAGCCCTCATTGTTGTTTCTTCAATCTTGTCTGGAAATCCCCGTGTAACTAGGGCTTCAAGATTTTCTGCTGTCTAAAGCATTGTAAAGAAGAAAGATTATGTTAGATCTCTTGAATTATTGATAGAATCTAGAAAAATGGGAACCTAGGATTTTATATTCAAAAAATATTATACCTTATTTTCTAACATAACATTGTGAAGATCCTTGTAGTTCCACAACCTGCTCCACTTTCTTGGCTCTTTGGGAGATTTTTCTCGAACAATACTCCTGCCCAACTCTATCAACAAGTCATGCACATGAATCCACCCCATCTTACTGGTTATTAGTGATTTATCAATGAGAACTCTTATACCAATTTCAGGATGAAATCCACGAAAATCTAGAACTTCCTTCACATATGTCTCACGCCTGTTGTAAAACAAACAAGCAATATCTAAAAATATTTCCTTTTCCATATCCTCCAATGCATCAAAACTGTTTCGTAGCACATCCATAATATCTTTCCTTGGATTTTCTCTCAATCTAGCCAATGCACTTCTCCATTCAGAAACATTTCGACCAAACAAAAATGAGCCCAACACTTTAATTGCTAACGGTAGGCCATTAACATATTTTACTGCATCGTATGTCAATTTTTCAAAATCTATCATAATATCATCACATTTGAAAGCTTTTCTACAGAACAATTGAAGAGCATTATGATAATTCAAGAGTTTAACTTTGTAAACTTCATCCACTCCATGCTCTCTCAAGATATGTTCATCTCTAGAAATTATGATTACCCTACTCCCTGCACCTAGCCATTCGGGTTTCACTGCCAATTTCTCAAGTTGTTCAACTTGATCAATATTATCAAGAACTATAAGGGACTTAACGTGGCAAAGCCTACTTCTTATCAAATTAGTTGCCATAAAAGTATTGCACATGTGAAGATTTTCTTCATTTAGAATTTGACAAAGTTGCTTTTGTGCACCAATTGGACCATAATCTCCATAAATTTTACTTACATCATCAACGAAACAGGAAGCATCAAATTGATTAGAGATTCTCTCATACAAAACAGTAGCAAGAGTAGACTTTCCGATTCCACCCATTCCACAAATCCCTACTATTCGAACAGCATCATCATCTGAGTCCAAACCCAAAAGCTTTTCTAATTCTTCCACACGTGAGTGAATCCCAACTATATCACCAGGTATACTTGAAAATTTGCGATCCAGTATGCCTCTTACCTTCTTAATAATTTTTTCAATTTCTGCATATTGTGGCCTAAAAGACCAAAGATGGACAAAAACACCAAATCATCACATGAAAACCCCAAACAATAACTATATAGAATATGATAAAGTGCTTCTGTAATTAAGTAAAATTAGTTGAATGAAACCATTTAAGTTTTGTTAATCATGTTAAAAGTGTTGATCAGCTTGTGGTAAAATACATAGACAAGATTTACTTACTTATCACTTATATCCCAGCCAGAGAGATTGGCCACTTGTGCTAGAGCTCCCCTCCATCTTTGCACCTTCTCTAAATTTTCTTTGAATCTATGTTCATGCTCCACAAAGGCTTTTTCAAAACTCCCACTCTGTTTTCTCACCTCAGATGGATTCACATCATAGAAAATAGGCAGAACAGTTTGTCCTGACACTTGAATGCAATCAGCGATCTCTGCGAGTTCTTGCAAGCACCAAGTGGAGGAAGCATAGTTTTTTGAGAAGACAACAATCAAAATCTGGGATCCTTGGATTGCTTTAAGGAGCTCAGGTGCAATGGATTCGCCTTTGTTGAGATTAGTATCATCCCTGAAGGTAAAAATGCCTTTTCTACAGAGAGCAGCAAAAAGATGATCGGTGAAATTGTTGCGTGTGTCACCTCTAAAGCTAACAAACACATCATATTTCCATATCTTCCGAGTTGATGAGCTGCTTTGGATTTTCTTGCAATCCATCTCTTACTCTGAAATCTGCAATGCAAGGTCAAGTCGTTTTTGGAAATGAAGAAACTGTGGGCAGTGAAGACAGAGAAATTATCCTAAGACACGTCTTGTGAACTTGTTGGGGACTATAGACATATTTTCGCATTGAAAACACTACTTTACGGTGGCAAAGACTTTGAAGAAGCGAGCGTAAACTCTACTGCGGATAATAACCTTTTTGAAATTATTTCTAGGGTTTTATAAGAGTCATGTTGCAGGAAGAGTGATTGTGTAATGTTATAGAGATTCGTTTTGCGTGCCTTAATTTTTTTATTTATTTTTTTGTTTTAAAAAATGTGGGTCTCACAAAATGTTGTGAGTGTAGGAAAATTTGTTGTGTTATGTTAAACGATAAAATGAAAACCCTTATTTACAAAAAACAAAAAAAAAAAATGAAAACCCTTATTTCTAACCTTTTCATCCTTTGAGCATTATTGACTATCATTTTCAATTTTTTCATCAATTTCCTCAAATTATTATTTATTTTCTCAATTCTCTTTAACTACTAAATTTTTTAAATGACTATTTTTTTTTTCTTTTACTGGACGAAAAGTAGAATTTTGGTAGGATGAGCAGCTGTGCAATGATTTCTTCGGCGTAAACAACAAGGGGAAAATTTAATGGATTTTATAAAAGTTATGTTGCAGGAAAAGTGATTGTGTAATGTTATAGAGATTCGTTTTGTGTGCCTTAATTTTTTATTTATTTTTTTGTTTTAAAAGTGTGGACCTCACAAAATATTGTGATTGTAAGAAAGTTTGTTGTGTTATGTTAAAGGATAAAACGAAAACCCAAATTTAATACTACATTATGTGTTTTTAGAAATACATATTATAAATAAAATAAAATAAAAAAAATTTCTCAGAAATTGTCGACTGATGTGCTAAAAAAAGAAAGTAATTTTTATATTTATCCTATGTATACATAATGCATATATGACCATCGCACAGTATGATAGTGGTACAAAAAATATTCTCCACAACAAGGTGTTTTATATTTAGGTCAGCACAAACATTTTTTTAAAGAAAGTTTTAAATGCATTAAAAAAAATTCCTTTGAACCATGCAGCCACTTTCTCAAACTCACATTTGGCATGTATTCATACAGGAACAAGTTTGAGTCCTCTTAACATCAACGTTAAATATAGAGTCACTTGACATTAACATCAATTCAAAATGATCCCCCAAACAAAAGAGCCATCATTATTTATGATAACTTTGTTGTACATATCAACTCAATAAATATTTTTATACTGATATAAGCTCGAAAGAGCAAATCTTCGTGAAATTGTCGCATCTTAAATGGTTAATAAATAACAATCCATATAAGTGTAGGAAAATATTAACCTCATGTGATAGGAGATAATAAATTTTTCCTACACACTCAAAAAGGTGTGGAGCCCACTTTGATTTTTTTTTCTCTTTTCCTGTACAGTGGGACCCACATAAGTTTGTGAGTGCAACATGAGATATTTTATCTCCTATTACATAAGAAAATATAATCCCATAAATGAAAGTTAACTCAAAATAAAAAGCAAGGGTCAGCATTTGCAACTAATACAGACAGAAGAAGCAATATGGACTCCAGATATTTAATATGATCATAGAAGAAAATTTGGGAACCCTGCTTTACCACAAGTCCTAAATATTTTTTATTTTCTGACTATAAGATGAGAAGACAGCTCAAATCATCTTATTGTGCAACATAGATAACTTTTACAAGGTTGGAGTGATTAAATGAAAAAGAGTGACATTGAAGTGATACCTGAGGATGGAGAGGGAGTGCAAGCCAAGGTAGATGCAAAGGCAGATAAATGGTTAACTCAGACTTAGGTTCATTTTTCTTGGGGTATTTTCACATATATTATTACCTAGTCAGTTTATGATATTTACCAAAATGTCATTTTACATATAAGTTGCTTCAGAATAAGGTGCACCGTAGGCAGCTCTACCCGAGAACACTAGATTATATTGGGCTGGACAAGACTCGAGCAATTGCTAACTCACCCAAGGTGGAAGTGCTTATGGACATACTTATCTATCTTTAATTTTGAAAATAATCGGTCAATCACCTACAACAAAGAAATCTAAGTTCAGAAGTCAGCGAAATGAGCTGGTTTAAGAAAGGAAGCAACAGCTACTTGAAGAAATTGATCTATTTTGAGAGTTAAGTGTTAGATTCCTACATTGTGTATCATTACACAGGCCAACTGAATATTATTTAATTAAAGGAGCAAAGAAAGTTCCATGCAACTAATTATGACGTTTAAAATTCACAACGAGATTATATTTAACCTTAGCCATAGCATTCGACTAGTACATATTTAATGGAGTGTCATTGCATTTCAGTTGCACCTAACTAATGAATCAAAGTCCAAATGATATCTAAATGAAAGCAACTCAAGCAAGCTGAAGCGAGAGCCGTATATGAAACTTGGAAATCACCGGAGTAAATCGTGGAGCTTGTGACAGAAACTATCAATATAAGCTGACTCCAAATTGTTGCTGAGTAAGAGGCTTCTCGATTTAGTGTGATTTGCTCTGACCTCCCCAGTCCCCACTAATCTTACTCTCATCATTCATCACAGTCTTCACAGCTTTGCAAACGCTCTCCTTTGTGATCAAGCCATCTTTTTGACCTTTCTCCATTTCAAAACCAATCATCATTGCGTTGAGGTCTGGTCAACAATATTTGGTAAAAGCACCATCTGACACTTGTTCACAAGTGTCCTCTTGTAAAGATCCAAATCCACAATGGGTGAACAAGCACCCTACATATGGGTGGTCCAGAATTAATGTTTGTTATGCCCAACCTCCATGGACAACCCCTCGTCCTTGAACCCTCTCTTTGAATCCCTTTGGCAGAGCTGTTTCATCTGATTCAAATACAACGGGTGTCTTTAAGTGCTGCCAGAAATGGAAAACCTGTTAGCTCAAGACCCAACAACAATTCTTGGAATGGATCTTGCTGTAGGGTCCATTCACTTCCAAGTGCATATTAAATTACTGATACAAGCCATTCAGCTCATTTTTTCCTCCAAAATGGAGGTGCGTGGCTCTAGTAGAACAGGCCCTGAAAGCAAAAAAGGCTTTCAATACAGGGTCCCTCAAATTCACTACAGCCTAAAGTCTTTTTCTACAAAATAAAATCCTCCTCTTTTAAAGTTCTATTGCCCAAATCATTATTTGTTTCTTCTTTCACAATCTTATAAAACATTCTTAAATTTTGAATGTCTAGTTTTGCTTTGTTGTCCTATTATTAGAAACTGAGGATGTTATCAAATCCAAGTAGATGCTCCTACACACAATAAGTATTAGCTCAATGTTGTTGGAGATTAAAATTTTGGTTGTCTATGGTGGTGTTTTGGTTTGTGAGACAAATTCAAGAGTAAAGAGTTATTGGTCCTACTTTTGAAAAGTTCAATCATTTTTCAAGACTGCCTAACATTTGTTTCAAGGTGGTGAGTGAGCTAAATCGTTGCTAAGTAAGGTTTCTCAACTTTGCGGTGGCTTGACCTTTTACCATTTCAACACCAGCTTTTAAGACACCTGTTAGGATAGCGGATCCTAAGAAGGGAATTTCAGGGAGGAAACAAGAAGAACAAATGCAAACAGAGAGAAATTGCAAAAGGAAATCTGTATATTCATCAATATCCATTCAAATGACCCTAATCGTGCTTATAAGCAACGAAGTCTAACCATTCTGTAACTGAATTGATACATTGACACATAATCAATACTATTCAACAGCTCATCAAAAGGAAGCAACATAAAACAGAATTGCAATTCAAAAGGCAACACGTAACAGAAAGACAATTTACTCCTAATAAGTATCAATACTAAAGTTGGGCCAATTCCTCTTGGACATGGACACTTGGATAATGGGCTGATTACACAATGTAATCTTTGGCCCAAGAAGGAGCCCCAGTCCTCCTCTTCAATGTAGGATCCTTCACCGTGACATTGCTCCCACCTGCAATAGGAACCTTGACCTCAAGGTTTATATCTGGAAAAGAAAATTATGGATAAAACATGGTAAGATCATCCTCAAACTCCCATGTAGAATCTTCAGGAAGGGAGTTGGTCCACTGGATTAACCACTGTCTACGATCTCCATGAGGTTCATGAACCATTCGAGTCATTACTGCTGCCAAAGGGACTTGGACAGGGTGATTTTCCCTAGTAAGTGCAGGCAGCGGTACAGGAGCAAAAGAACCATCACCTCGGAATGGTTTGAGCACAGATATGTGGAAAGAAGGATGGATTCGACAATTATCAGGCAATCCCACTTGATAAGCCACAGGACTCAACACTCGCACAATAGGATAAGGACCAAAATACCTTTTGGAAAGCTTTTGACACTTCCTATGTGCTACTGTGATCTGGCCATAAGGCTGTAATTTAATTAGCACCAAGTCACCTACTGAAAATGTGAAATCCTTTCCATGCTTGTCAGCCTGGATTTTCATACGGTTCTGAGCTCCCTGTAACTGATCCTTAAGATACCGCAGTAATACATCACGATGGTGCAAAGTGGCATCAACTGCCTCCTCTCGAACAGAACCTTTGCTATAAGAAGGAATCATAACAGGAGCCTTACCGTAAAGAGCTTGGAAAGGAGGCATGTCAATTGAAGAATGTACAGCAGTGTTATAATGAAACTCAGCCCAGCCTAAGTACACTGCCCACTTATGGTTCTCATCATGGCAGAAAGCACGAAGATACTGCTCCAAATAACGGTTTGTAACTTCAGATTGCCCATCTGTCTGTGGGTGGTAAGAGGTGCTAGTTCTGAGGCTTGTCCCACTACATTTAAAGAGCTGAGACCAGAAATGACTCAAGAAAATAGAGTCTCTATCCGAAACAATGGTTTTTGGAAAACCATGCAATTTGACTACCATATCACAAAACAGAGTAGCTACCTTTGCAGCAGTATAAGGAGAAGCTAAGGCCCCAAAATGAGAAAATTTTGTC